GATCCACGCGAAGTCTATGCCCTGCTTCTCACCCTTTGTCTGCAGTGCCATCCACGCGATGTCCTCCTGCGCCAGCGCGAACGTTTTGTTGTAAAGGTCGAAGGGGATGCTACTGTTGCAGGGCTGGTGGCCCAGGAACGCGCAAACCTGCTGGAAGGTTTCTTCCGTCGTCCTGATGCCGTCGTGGTCGTGGGTGTTGGCCCCGATGCGCAGGCCCTTAGCCATAAAAGCGTCCAGCATGCCCTGCAGGTTCGGGAAGCTGTCCTCGTTCCATGTGAACGACCCCCAAAGATCATGTGCAGGCCCAAACTGGTGCCAGTTCATGTCAAAGATCCACGCGTCCAGCGGGAAGCTGCGGGCTTCAAAGTCATCGACAAGGGCAAGGGCCGAGTCGCTGTCAAAGTCGAACCACCGCGTGAATATCGTGCCCAAGGCATACCTTGGCGGCACGGCAGGAGGCCCAGCTGCGTGCACAAAATCCTTCAGCGCGCCCGCGAAGTCCAAACCGTGCAGGAAAACGAACACGTCCACGGAGTTCCTGGAGGGCGCGTACAACCCGTCGCGCCACACAGGCGCGCCCGTCTGGCTCACGACCGCAGAGCCGGCCGCGGAAACGAGCCCCCAGGCGCAGTGCATCTGGGAGTTGTCCATCGTCGGCGACACCTTCTCGCTGCAGTTGAGATTGAGGGTCTCGGCCGAGAGGTCCAGAGTGCGGGCTGTGCCGCCCAGGTTGCCATCGGCCGGGTCGCCCCAGCTCCAGGTGGCCTTCTGCCGAGCGCCCGACATCCACGGGAGCGCGTGAATGCTCTCGACCTTCACGGTGCCGCGGGCCGGGGGGGCGGACCGCAGGTACGAGACGGTGACGCTGTCCGTCTGCACAGAGGCCCAGCCCCCGGGCAGGGCGGCCTGGCTGCCCCTCCAGGCGCCAAGGCTCGGGCCCCTCACGAAGGCGTCGGTGGGGTCGTCGACGAAGACGCGCCCCACGTCGTACTCGATGCGGACCAGGCGGTGCGTCACGGCGGTCATGCGCCAGGGGCCGTCCAAGTGCACCGACGGGTCTGGCGCGGCGCCGACGCACGCGAAAGCGGCCGCGGCGGCGACGGCCAGGCGCGGCTGGGCGGCCATGCCGGCGCAGGGGGGGCGGGGAGGGGGATGCGCCACGGCCCGCGGAGGAGGGGCCGGTTGGGCTCCGGAGAGGAGGAGGAGGAGGAGGAGGAGGAGGAGGAGGAGGAGGAGGAGGAGGAGGAGGAGCAGGAGAGGAGGAGGAGGAGGAGGAGGGGGAGGGGGAGGGGGAGGTGCAGGTGCAGGAGGAGGAGGAGGAGGAAGAAGAAGAGACGAGAAATCCGCCGATCCGGCGTGTGAGTTTCAAGGAGTCTCAGCTACAGCCTCGAGGCTGAGCCTCAGCCTCTGGGGGGGTTGCCGGGGTGGCTCTGCCGGGGAAGGGGGGTGGGGTGGGGGGGGGGGGCGAGTTTCCGGCGGATGCGTTTTTTGACACCCCTCACAAGGATCGTGGCCTCCGAGGGGGTTCCGAACTCGAGTACCACCCCTCCCGCACCAAGAGGCTCCGAGGAGGCCTCCAAGAGGCCCCAAGGGGCGCAGAAGAGGCCCCCAAGAAGCCCCAAGAGGCTCCCAAGAGACCCCCAAGAGGCCCTCTAGTGGCCCCAAGAGGCCCAAGAGGCCCCCAAGAAGCCCCAAGAGGCGCCCAAGAGGCCCCCAGAAGTCCCAGCCAACCACGAGATCCCAACCAGCATCCATGAGGCCTCTGACCCACCACCCACGCACGGTGGCGGGATAGGCCGACGGCCACTGGATAAATGCTGAGTGAGAGGAGGGGAGGGAAAAAGAGAGGAGGGACGAGGGCGAAGAAGGATCACATCAGTCGGAGCGCCTCGGATCGGCGGCACTGGCCGAAGGCCACTACAATAATATGAATACGAAGAAGAGGAGGAGGAGGAGGAGGAGGAGGAGGAGGAAAAGGGGGCCATTCACTGTCGGCGGTGACGGCTTTCCGCCTCAGGGCAGGGGCGACTTGAGAAAGAATGGCTACGGAGTGCCTCTGGGGCACGCTTATGAAGAATTCATCGGAAGGCCTGAGGCTTTCCGAACCTTATGAGGAAGCCCGCCCATGCTGACTTCTCCCTGGTGTCCGCCACCGATATAAGAGAACACACGTTCTGAAACACCGTCGACGAGTAGAGACAAGCTATTATTTAGCCGTGCCAGAACGTTTTCGATGAGAAACAGATTGGAACTTGGAGGCGAATAGAGGAGGAGGATGATGATGAGGAGGAGGAGGAGAAGGAGAAGGCGGAGGAGGAGGACGGGAAGAACGAAAACAAGGACGAGGACGAGGGGAGGAGGATGTGTTTTGAGCTCCACGCTCTCGCCTCCTCATCGGGCCACGCCCGAGGACATCGCCAGCTACGGAGGGAGGAGCTGGCGAGTTGAAGCCGAGCCTCGTCGGAGGAAGCGCTAGGCTCGGGCACAGGACGGGGCCTTGGCCGCAGGGGAGCCTCGTCATCCTAGGCCGCTAGAGCGGCACGCACCGATCGCAGCGCTTCTCTCGGAGAGGCGCTGGACGGACGGTGCGGCGCCACAGCGGCACGGAGGACAGGACGCCGAGCAGGCTCCGCGTCCTCAAAGCCTGCAGATTGAGTCGGCACGGCGCCGGCGGGGCAAGCTGCGCCCGCAGCTTGGCCGAAATGGCAGACGGCAGGCTGCGGGGGGGCAACACAAGTAGCTGATACAGCGAGCTGCGCTGCGTCGCACGAGCCAACTGCATTCGCATCCACGCCGACAAACGGGTCGGCGGAAGACGGGCCAGCAGCGAGGAACTGGGCGGCTTCCTCTTCTGCTGCAAAATCGTCGTAGAGGCCGCAGCCCGAAGCGTCACCCACAAATCCGTCACCAACGTCGGGTGATGGACCAGAGGCGAGGGCACGGGGCTGCGGAGCGAGTTTAGGCACAGAGCCGCCAGGTCCCGCCGCTGCAGCGGATGGACCAGGGAGCGAGGCGGCAGTGGCTGGGTCGGAGGTGACTGCAGCCTCGACTGGGCCAGCGATCAGCAAGGCGCTCCCATACGCCGAAATGAAACATTGGACCAGCCCTTCTGTGTCAACTCTGACACCGGCTTTCCTCTGTTTCTGCTGGTGGTGCAGTCCTTTACACACGTAGCCCCAGCCATACTTGCCAGCACGGGTAGGGGCAACACACTCCTGGGCCAGGCCACGGATTTGACCCCCACTGGCGTGGCATTTGCACCTGAGACATATAAAGAGCACTGAGTGGCCAGTGCACGGAACGGCGACAGCACGGTGCCCGAGGACATCTTGATGGTCCGCGTGGACCAAAGCTTTCCTGGAGCAGGACCCTGAGGGTGGCTTCGAGAACGACCTGCAACCACGCAAACAGTGAGCGCACCTCCAGATTCCGCTCCACGATTCCCAAACGTGTCCAGATGGGCTTCCTTTGGGACGGGGAATCAGGGTTCCTGCCGACCCCAGACAGGTCCAAAGGGGGCCAGTGGACTAGAACGTGAGCAGCCAGCTTCAGTAGCCCTAGCGTATGACACCATCCTGTCAGCGTCCTGAAGAAGGCCTCCGTCACGCGGGTGCAACGAAACTGCGTGCTTGGCTGCTACATCTGCATGGTGATTGCCGGGCCTGCACCAGCGCTCTCGGGGTGTGATGCCAGGAGCGTCGATGTCAAGATGGGCGGACACCTTCGAGCTTGGACCGACCCCACCGACCTGACCGCAACACTGGAGAAAGGCTCCAGAGTACATCCTCTGGGGAGACAACAGAACCGACTTGCCTCTGGCCGCCGACTGTACAACGTTGCTACAGTCCAAAAAACGCGGCAATCTGCGGGACGCGTGGCCATCACATTGGCCCAAGTAAAGGCGCTGAATTCGGCACTCTGGGCCGTCTGTGGGTATGGGCCCCAGACTGGCGCGCGAAGCTCGGCAACTAAGTCACCAGCATCGCCCACCATGCAAACAGCGCTGGCCGCTCGAGAAAGTTCGCGCACTGCGCGGCGAAAACATGAGCCATCGACGAAGAGGTCACCCCAGACACGCTTGTCAACAGGGGCCGCATCAGGGCCTTCCTTGGGGCACTTCTGCCACGTCAACATCGGACCATCATCCCGCTCAGTCAACGTCCGAGGGTGGAGGCTGGCGGGGTGCCGAAAGGCGCCAGAGATGAAAACAAAGCTGTCCTCTGGCTCGCCAGAGGCCTTAGCTGCACGCGCAGCTTCGATAATATCGGGCTCAACCAGCCTGCTCCTACCCTCAGCCGCGTGGGGGAAGGGACAAACCCACGAACAGTGGAAGATGGTGTCGCGGGCTCCGCAGTGGATACAAACAGGCTCGATGCGATAAACAAGAGACTCGGCCCTGGCAGCCGTGAGGAAAGCTTCCGTGGAGAAGACCCGAATCCTGGCCTTTTGGAGGGGCGTGAATTTCTTGCTGCGAAGAGACAGACATTCCCGCACCACGTCGTAGCAGAGACGTGGCTGGATGCCACGAGCAGTCGCCGCGTCTCTCTCCAACATGCGGAAATACCCTTCTCGGACCAGGGACCCGACAAGCGAGGGCGAGAAGATCCCCGAGGGAATGGATCTCCCGAAATCGCCCACCAGGGTCATGAAGTTACCCATGCGCCACCCGAGGCGCACCAGAGACATCCGCACGGCAGAGATGGGGCCCGCAACTCGCCTCCAGCTGCAAGACGCACAAGAAAAATTGCATGCCACGCACGCCTGAGCACAGGCAAAGAGAGAGAGACCAGCTGAAGGCTGAGGTCTGACAAAGCCACACCTCCTTGCTCCACCTGAGAATCGGGGCCGCGGCCGCTCGCCACGTCGGATCGTAGTCCAGCATGGCGCTGACTGTGAGAGATCTCAGCTGGCTGCGAGGGCGAACGACAGAAAAAAAAAACGGCGGCGCAACAGGCTAAGGTCGTGATCGCTAGCGCCCGTGGCTTCGGACCCATAGGAGGCCCCCACTAATGGCCCCGCCGAGAAGACCTTGAGGGAGGAAGCCCGACTAAGCGCCTGACCCTGCCGCGCTAAGCGCCGTGCTGCCCGAGCTGACCCGGCGATCCTACCCTTCATCTTGGCCGCCTTGCCGCCGGCCCTGATGGCTCGACCAGCCGCGCAGTCAACGCCCAGGTTGACCGCGGAACCAGCGCGGCGGCAGAGGTGGCGGAGCCGTTCGAGGACCTGGGCGCCGACGAACTCAGAGCTAGCAACAATCGCCGTTTTCGCCCGGGCAAACGAACAGTTGAACACACCCCTCACGACACCATCCAACGCAACGGCGCCAGCCACCGCAGCTTCCACGACAGCCCCAGGGCGACCCGTGGAGGACAAGCCCTGGTCGTCAATGTAGACGCCCGGGGAGGTGGAGGAAGCAAGAGGGATGCTGTCGTAACCGTCAAGACAGTAGACGCGGATAAGAGCGGTGGCCATCGAACAACCCGCGATGACCCCGTTCGCGCAGAAGCAAGGGCCCTCGATCCAACCGCCGAGACTGAGGAAACGACCGACTCTGTACGCATACAAGCACAACCTGGCAATAATCATCGGAAACCCGTGCCTCCTGCAGCGATCCTCTAACTTGTCCAGATTGATGTTCTCATAGAACTTAGAAAGATCGAGACATATGCTGCAGCTGGCCTGACCCCTGGCGACTCCGCTTTCGGCAGCCACCGCTTGTATCCGAACGACGTCGGCCGTTCCCCGATGCTGGCCAGCAGCCCAGTACCCACGGGGATGAGTGAGCTCCCAGTCCAGGGCGAGGGGGCGCATGCAGCGCCCCCAGACCCTGAACCAAGAACAAAATACCCCGATGGGTCTGTAGCCGCCAGTCGGCTTCGGCAGCAGCGCAAGCAGCACAACCGAAATCTGAGGGGGGAGAATGCCAAGAGACTCGATCTGACAAAGGATGCTAATAAGACAAGTGAGGCCCGCGTCGGACAGCAACGAGAAGCGTCCGCAGTGAAATCCGTCTACGGAAACGGCCGACGCACTATTGTAAGACCGAGAAATTGCACGAATAGTTTCAGCTTCAATCCTGGGGAGGGGTTCGAGACGCTCAAACCGAGACTGAGCCCCCGACCCATGACCCCAAAGCTTCGAGAAACGCATGCCCTCCGCCTTCAGAAGCGAAAGCGAATCCGAAACCACGCTGCCCTCGGCCGAAAGAGTGCTGCTGGCCACCCAAGGGGTCGGGTCCCGAAGCAACATGTGAACCCGCTTCGCACCAGACTGCACTCCGACATTGAGCCATGCCTTCCAGTCGGCACGGCTCTGAGCGAGGAACTTGCCGTCGGCGGCCTTGACGGCCTCGTGCACCCGAGCGTAAACTTCAGCAAACGCGTCGGGAGCAGCCAAGGTCGCGACCGGCGTCGCCACCAGCTCGAACAGGGGCGCATAGTCAGGCTTGGCGATGGCGATCGCAAGCGGAGGCTGAAGCAACAGTTCTGACCAGGTCCGAACAACACCCTATCCCTAAGATCATCGGGTCCCTGCCCGCACGCCGCACCGAAGGCCACGCCCTACAGGGCGGGCCCGTCCTGCCTGAGCAGCGTCGCCTGGGCCACGCACCAAAAGCGGAATAGGGGAGGGAGGAGGAGGAGAAGGGAGGGGGGAGGGAGAGGGAGGGGAGGAGGATAGGGACAGGAGAGAGGGAGAAGGGGAGATGGGGAGGAAAGGGGAGAAGGGGGGAAGGGGTTGGAGGGAGAAGGGGGGGGGAAGGCAGTGAAGGGTGGACGGGGCGGCAGGAAGGTGGGGGAGACGCCGTCCATGACGGTGGTCGTGTTTTTTTGTTTTTGTTTGCTCCTCTCCAGCAGCGGCCCTGACTTTGGCAGGGGCCTTCGTCTTGGTCGGCGCCGTGCTCGCCCGCGTCCTCGTCGTCGCAGTCGTCGTCCTACGTCCGACGCCGTCGTAGTCGTCGTCATCGTCGTCGTGGTTGTCGTCGCCGGTCTCCTCCTCCCTCCCCCCCGTCGTCGTCGTTCTCCTCCTCCCTCGCCCCGTGTCGTCATCGTCGTCGTTCTCCTCCTCCCTCGCCCCCGTCCCCTACCCATCCATCCCATCCCCCATACCCTCATTATTAGTTTCCTCGTCGTCGCCGCCGTCGTCGATGTCGAAGTCTGTCGGCGACGTCATGTTCGTGGGCGATGGCGTCGTCGACGACGGCGTCAACGACGTCGTCGTCTTCGTCGCCCTCGTCACGTGCACCACGTAATTGCATCCTTCGTCGTTGTCGTCCCCGTCGCCGCCGTGACACCTGCAGGCGATGACATCGCGACAGTCGTCGCCGTCATGGTACCATCGTTGTCAGCGTCATCGTCGCCCGAGTCGTAGTCACGTCGCCGTCGTTGTCGCAGTCGTCGTCGCCAGCCTACTGGCGACCGCGCGGCCTGGCGCCGCAAACCCTCACGCAGCGAAGGGGGGGGGATTGGAAGGGTGGAGTTGCTATACATGCCCCCATCTGCCCTCCCCCTCCCAACCCCAACTATCCGTTCCTACTCCTCCCTACTCCTCCGCTACCCTCGAATGCCAATTATTATCCTCCCCGTCTTCCTTTACGAATTCCTCTCCTCATCGGGGGGCGGGGGAGAGGGAGTGGAGGAATAGAACACAATCTACAAGAAATGAAAAGGATAGGAAAACACTGCAAAATACCGTAAATGTCAAGCCACGCTGGTCGCACACATATCGACATAATTCTGGCGAAGCTCCGATCTCAACAAAATTGCTTATGGAATCGCAGCTGGTCCATCGTCGAACAAGCCAGCGATCGGGCACTGGTCTACACCAGTGCCCTGCATAGTCAAGTATTTTGACCACAGGTCGCGCAGCACCACGAGGAGGTTCTCGCGGTGGCCGTAGAGCTGCCACGATACACCGAACCTGCTGAACGGCTTCAGGTGGCCGTTCCACGCGCCTTGCACATTCGACCGCCACACGTGTGCCCCAGGAGGCACGAGGTGGCGAATTTCGCACTGGGCGATGTCGCCCTCGGGGATCCTACGCGGGGGTCCGTGGCCAGCCCCGCCAGCGGGCTTGCCCTTGCCTTTGCCCTTGCCCTTGCCTTTGCCCTTGTGGGCTGGCGCAGGCGGTGCCCGTGTCTCAGCCCGCCTCTTCTGCCAATCCTTGGTGTAGTCATCGCGCTCGGCAATGACCCTTTTGTGCGCATCCGCAGTCTTCGTCCAGTTGTCGCGGCCCTCTGGGCAGAAACGCAAGTCGGCGCCCTCGACGTGCATGAACGTCTCCAGGGCTGCGTTCTGATTCGATACCGACTCCACCATCCTGGTGGCCATGACCTCCAGCAGCTCTTCCTCGTTGATGGGCGCGCCTGGCTTGCCGAGGTTGTACTTGATGAGCGCCTCCAGGATCTCGTACAAACTGTTCCCCTCGGCCGCGACCCCTTGGTACTTCATCAGTCTGGTCAGCTGCGTCTTGTTCAGGCCGAGGAAACACGTGCGAGCAGCAACCACAAGGAGAGGCGCAGCACGTCCTGTCACTCGGAGCCTGCCGCCGAGCCCACCTGGCAGCTCCCTGGGCAGCTGATCTCCGAGAAGAAGGCACTGCGAGAATACCGAACACCATTCGACAGGGATCGCTTCCCAGTTGCTCGGGTCAACAACAGCGTGGAGCAACTCACCCATACTCACATCATCCAAGGACAACTGCATAAACACAACATCTGCATTTACTACCGCGTGCTCCTTGAGAGGCCAAGCAACCCAGCGCTGCAGGAGAAGTGCGTCAGAGGCAACATCCATGGCGTAGTGGCGCCTGCCAGCGTGCATCTGACAGCAAACTTAGACGTCGTCATGAACATCTCGCCGTGCCAAGCGTGCTGGATCTTGTCGAGGCAGCCAAAGCGAACGCAGTGGTCGATGATGACGGCATCGGCGAATCTGGCGCTCCAGTCATTCGCCTCCGGCGAGTACCACTGAGTCGCCTGCTTAGCAGACGTGACCTTGGCGAACTCCTTCGGCATGGACAAGTACGACGGACGATAAGCATCAGCAGGCACCTTGAGGTCGCGCTGGTAATTGAACATCGGGAAAGTCAACTCCTTGTAGCCGTGCTTCTTGGACGCCACCTTCTTGTCGAACAACGTGTGGAACGCAGTCTCGATTGTGCCATTCCTGTTCTTATGAGGGACGCTGTTCTTCTGGTCATTGAACCCGCCCTCCACGATCTGCGAGCCGATGCACCTGCTATTGCACGCTTGGAAGAACGAACGAACCCGCTCTGTGATGATGAAGTCGTCAATCTCAAAAACCCCGCACACTTGCTGCTGCGACTTCCACTCCCAAGGGCTGCGACCCACAAACAACTGCACGCCCTCCACATCGTTGCTCCGCTTCATCGTCTCGTACTTCTCGTACTCCGTCTTCATGCGGGCAACCTCGCGGCGAGCAAAGTCTGCGTCGTCCGTGAAGAAGCACGAACGCGAGCTCCAGCCCTTCATCATCCACAGCGCCCTCTTGACGCGGCAGCCCACGATGCCGACGCAGGCGTGGGCGAGCTTCTGCATCATGTCATTCTCTCTGGCCTCGTGGCTCTCCTGGGGCAAGTTTGCGATGTTGTGACCAGCGGGGAGAATGAATTCGAAGTCGAGATAGCTAAAATCGCATCTTTCAAGTGTGTAATGAATTCGCAAGTGATCTCTCTCCTCAGCCATTGCTCTGTCTTGCCAGTATCGCGACGCTCAGCGTTGCTCATGCCAAACCACTGCTCGCACGACTCCGAGGCACCAACTATGATCTTGTCAAGCATCGTCGTATCGGGCCCCAGCCAGTCCATCAGGGCGACCACCATCTGGTTGGCACATGCCTTCCGAAAATTATTCTCCTCCTCTGTCTCCACACGGCTGTTGGTGGTGCGCGCGAGTTCGGCGCCCGACCTCACAAGGCGGGCGAATTCCGCGTTGCCTACCATGTCCATCTCCACGCAGGTCAGCAAGTACCCGAACTTTCCCTGGGCGCTGCAATTCAACTCCTCTCTGATTTTCCTGATGACGGCCAAGAATCGGTTCTTCAACGTATTGCCCCCCCTGGCGGTGAACGCGTTGGATTCCTTCAGGTGGTTCCACAACGCATCTGCAGGTTCAGGGGTGTCCGCGAACTCTCGCCCAGCAGGCTCGGCCAACACATCGTCGACGAAGCCCTGGAAGAACACGTTGGTCGAGGCTGTCGTCGTAGCGAAGGCTTCCTTCAGTGCTCCAGTGGCTTGGCCCCACCGTAAGTTCTCGTCCCACGGCGATATTGGCACGTTAATCCTCAACAAAGGCATAGATATATGGCACCCCAGGCCAGCTGCTTCGATTCCACCGTTAATATCGTTGTGGACCCCGTGGCTGAAGTCCCATGCTGGGTCCACGTTGATCCCCACGTGAAGCCAGTGGGAGATGGCTGCCACCCCGTCGATGCCCTGGCCAGGGCTGATCGACAGACGGGGCCACTTGGCAACGTTGTCTCGATCCTTGGGATCAGCAGGAACATGAAAGTGAAGAAGACCTTTGTCAAGAAACCGTTTCATCGAATTGTGCTCGCAACATGTGAATTGGTAACCAGCCTTCCGATACCGCTTGGGCGGTTGCCAACTACCTGGGTTCGAGCCCTCTCTCTTCCTCTTGAGCCATGCCATTTGCCCCGCAGCCTGCGCTTTCAGCGCAACCTTCTTGCCCTCCTCGCCGCCGATGAGCTCTGCCATCGAGGTCTCCCCCATGAAGTCGCCAGGGTCCTGGGCTGCCCCCCCCTCTCACTCTCCCCCCCCCCCCCCTCCTACTCCTCCTGAGCTGATCCACCCTCCGCTCTCCCCCTCCCTACGGGCGCTCGGCGTGGCACCGACGCCCATAGAGCGAGATCCAGGAATTCTCAATGCTAACCTTAGGGATGCGAATCTTGGGGATGGGGCAGTGTCTCGAGCGGGGACACCCCCTAAGATTGGCAATGTCAATCTTAGGGGGGGGGGGGGGGGGGGGGGGGGATGCCCCTAAGATTCGCATTCGCGATCCCGAGTGTGATCCCACACGGGACACCAGCTGAAGTTCGAGAGGGGGCGTGAGCGCGAGACCCCAGTCCTGAGGTATGCCCCAGAAGCCGACGTTGTTCGGCATGGCGAAGAAGGTGTTCAAGATGCCGAAGTTGTGCACGCGCGACTTGTCGGGCGCGTGGGAGATGAACTGCATGGAGTTCGACTTCTTCAAGGACTCCGCGGCCTTGACGTAGAGGGCGCACTGCATCGCCTTCGAGTCGCCGTGGTCGTTCGCCTCAAGCCCCATGCAACTGCCCGTGCCGTTGCTCTCCTTCACGAGGCCAGTGATGCGCATGTCAAGCAAGTCACCGAAACGCCACAACACTTGCAGAGAAAAGATCGGTCGGACCCTGTACTGCGGCACGTCCAGCATGATCCACCTGAAGAAAGAAATGATCCCAGGAGGCTTGGTGCGGAACTTCTCCCTGAATTTATTCACGAATGCCTTAGCACCTCGATTCAAAGTGTTCGTCTCGCCGATCACGAAGAGGGTCACGGTCCCGTCCGTACTGATATTTACCATGAGCCTCCTGGCTGATCCAATGATCAAGCCACTGCTGGTCCGATCGACGTACGACGTAAATAAACCAAACGCAACACGTCCACCAACGTACATTTCCACTAAAAGCCTGCCCAAGATGTCTGCTGATGAGTCCTTCTCGGTCTCATTCGCGAAGCCCCCCCCCCCCCCCCTGCTTATTTGCAAACGACCACCGAACGAGGAGGTAGAGCAACGACGTCACGCTGGCTGATTTCCCCCCCTGCTTATTTGCAAACGACCACCGAACGAGGAGGTAGAGCAACGACGTCACGCTGGCTGATTTCTCCTTCAACGCCCTGTGGTCAACCGTGTCGGACCCACGTACTTCCGTCTGGTCGTAAGCCACTGAGTTGCACAGACGGCCAAGTTCCGCGCGCTTAAGTGCAGCGTTCCATCTTGGGAATTGGTGGCCCACAGAACCCTTGACATGCAATTTCCGATGGGCCCCGATGGCAAGCATCACCGACGGCAAACTGAAGAACACGAAGTTGCCGTCCCGCCTGAGCTCGTAGATCGAGATGCCCAGCGGGTCGGCGGCCGTCGTAGCCCAGCTCTTCACCTTCAACGTGAAAGACGCCGCGCTCGCGAGCGCTTCGTCGAGAGAGCGGGCGATGGCGAGGTCGCCAGTCATAGTCTGCAGCACGGTCTCCCCGTCGGACTCCCTGATGTAGACGACGTTGTTCAGCAAGTCGACGGCGTCGAGCTTCCTTCCGCCACCGGTCGCCTCCACCAGCTCGGCGCCCCAGCCGTCCACGTCCAGCACCCACTCCGTCTCCGTGCGCGGCAGCTCTATCCTGTCGAACGTTTCGAGCTGCACAAGTTCGTGCATCATGGACTCGCTGTTGAAGTGCACCTGGAGCTTACCCTCTAAACTTCGCAACTGAAAGGCGTCGGAACCCATGCCGCCGTCAGTGGGCGCAGCGGGGGGCTCCGCAGGAGGTGGTAAAGGAGGTGGCGGTGCTGGATCCTCTGGGATGTGGATCTGCTCTGGTTAGATGACGCTCTCCAGCGCAATGAACGCAGCCGCCTCTCCAGGTGGGCCAACGGGCGCGGCGCCCCCTGAACCTGCTGCCGTTGTGGAGTGCATCGCGGGGATGTCCGCGCCGCTTTCGATCTGCCCCACGGCCGCGCGCATCACCTCGAGTGGAATCACCGCGCCGTTGACGACCAAGGGTGTTCCCGAAGCGATGCGGCGCTTGAGTTCCTCCAGCATGGCGGGCTTGGTGTTGCACAGGCGGACGATGAGGACCAGCTGGCCAGCCTCGCCAACTAAAGGCGGCGGCACTGCGTCGGCGGCCATGCCGCCGAAGGAGCACCAGTAGTTCACACTGGTCTGTCTCCAGAAAAAACTTCGAGATGGCTTGAGCCAAAACGGCTATCTGCAACGGGGACGCTGACGAGGCGGAAGAGCAAGTTGAGGATCGCTCAACAGTGCCAACGTTGACGGGGTGCTAGCGACGAGGAGGAGGATGAGGAGGAGCCTCGCGCGCGCAGATCGGGGGGCCCTGGACCTTCGAAGCGAACGCGACCGCTGGCGCCGCGCGGGCGGGGGGAGCAACGCCGCGGCGGCGTCGCGCGGGTGGGGCGGGGGGGGCTTCTGGATGCCGTTGCTTCTGATCCTCAACCTCTCCTTGAGGTTCCAGCCGACCACGGGGGGGGATGGAATGGGGAGGGTTCGGGCGATCGGTCGATCGGACCTTAATGGGGCCCTCGCTTGCATCTCCAAGGGCTCGCCAAACGCCGAAACCTCCAACTGACGAACTCGTCGTCGTCATGATCATCATTCGCTCCTCGCTCCTGCTCCCCTGTCTCTATATCCCGTCACCCCCTGTCTCCTCCTATCCCCCCCCCCCCCCTTCCCCTATCCCTCCCTGCCAACTGCCCCCGACTACGGCGGCCAACACCCCTTCGATTCGGCGCACACTCTCGAAAGTCCTGGGAAGCCTGCGACGGGAAGGGGACGAGGATGAGGTGAGCAAGATGAGGACGACATATTCTTGGCAACTCATGCGCGCAAGCCTGAAGAAGTGCGCACGCGCAAGCGTCCGCGCCCCAAGGGCACCTGCACTGGCGCCACCGGCCTCGGGGGCCCCAAATCCCGAGGCAACTAGATTGCAAAGATTACGATAATGATTAATTACATGCAGAACACATGTTGAACACGTAAGCTGGCGCCTCACCTTGGGCGCAGCAGCACGATCAGCCCGTGCTTTCTCCGGCGCCTCGTCACGCTGGCGCTTGCTGCGAGCCTGCAAGGTCACCAGCTCGGGAGTGTCGGCGATGGCGCTGAACTTCTTCTTGGCGGCATCCAGGTTGTCAACCGCGACCTGGCACAAGCTCTGAAGATGATTACTTTTCTTGTCCAGGCGGTACTTGTTAGGCCCACTCCCCGCTGGAAAGTACGAGGCTGCCTTCAAAGAGTTCTCGTCCACCAGCAGGTGGGCCTCGTCGATCGACGACGCGCTGCTCAGCGGGATGCTCGACGAGATGGTCACGTGGGCGGGGACCACTGCGATGTCACCATTCACGTACGTGATCTTGGCCAAGCGGCCATTGTCATACATCAGGCCGTACAAAGGGGGCGCTGACCAGTCGACAGCGCCGTCGACGCCGACGCTCTTCTCGAACCTATGGGCGATGTCGAAACCAATCTCGGCCAGGCGCAACTTCATGGTGTTCCCGAAGATGGTCAAATCGGCCCTGCACTCTCGTGGCACCTTACCTTTCATAGAGATGTGGAAGACGATGCCAAATACATCTGCCACTGCGTGCTTATCCTTGTCGCCCATGGCGTCGAGGAGCGCCGAAGATGGACCGCGTGGCATGGCGCCCAGGATGGACGCGAGCACGGACTTGTCGAGCTTGCCGAACGCGGGCGCAGCCTTCTTGAGCGCGTCCGTGGGCGATGTCTCCTGGGCCTGCTGCTTCTCAATGCACTGCTCGACACTGTCACCTGCGAGGCCCGCTTGCATGCTATTCCACACGTCGGGCGCCGCGTCGGAGAATTTCATCATGTGGTCGATGCACTTCTGGAGGCGCAATCGAGACCGAGTTCGTCTGTTCATCTCCTGCTGGTCGTTTCTCACGCCCCGCACGTGCGGTACACTCTCAGCGAAAAAGACCAGGACGGAGCCTTTCGCACCAGGCTTGTATAGAGAACCCTTCCAAAACGAGTCTCCTGGCACGGGCATCGCAGTCTGCGAAACACAAAAAAAGTACAGGGTGCTCGAAACTCGAAGCCTATAAAATCACGTGAGCCACAATGGGCTACTGATGATGATGTTGGTGATGACGACGGATACGGTAATGCGTGTTGAAACTGATGCGACAACGATCTCACTTGCGCATTGCCCCCCCTGGATAATCGACCTGAGGGGATTGGAAATTCTGCGTGCAAGGCACGCCCTATGAATCGGGGGGGCGACGTTCTGGGAGCAAGTGGGTCCTCCGAAACAGAACGGGTGGGGGGCAACTCCTCTGCAACACGGTGAGGGCTAAGAGCCCCCCCATCCCCGCCCCCCAACTACCTCTTCCCGACCTCTTCCCTCGCCTCCATCCTACGCCGCGTGCGGTTTATCCGTCCGTCTGCCTATCCGAGAGGATGGGGGGGGGGGCCGGGAAGCGGAGGGGGAATTTGTTGAGTTATGTTGCGCGTTGGCGGAAGAACGGCGACACACGTTTTCCAGTTGCCCCATTGGTTTACAACAAACATGCATTATAACATTGTGTAACTATGGCTAAACAATACCAAACGTGCGCATTGAAAGACCGCGCTGGTGGCAAGCAAGCAAGCAAGCAAGCAAGCAAGCAAGCAATGGTGTGTCGCAATCAATCGGTGACGCAGATCTGTGGCAATGTGGCCATTTGAACAGCGAGTGATGCCGGCCCATGCTATAGCCTCTAGAGTCCCCAATGGGCCCCCGTAAAAGTGACCCCTCGGAAGTGGGAATTCTGGTCTTGGGGATAGGGTGGAATTCGAAGGTGGTGAAGTTCCTTCAAACAGGAGGCAGTGCTAGACGCGCCTGCTCGTAAGGCATGGATGTACGCCCTGAGCTGCTGCCCTAACCAAGCTATGGATCTGTGAGTCGGACATCTGACCTGGGAGTCCTTAACTAGAACCGAGCGCCAAACCAACTGAGGGCCCAACCCACAAGTGCCGAGCTTGACAGGCGATGACCCAACCAACGGAATGAGTTCCCTTTCGGCAGTGTCGGCCCACCTCTGGCACAGGGAGCCCAGAAGGGAAGCAGCTTCGTTGGGGCGACCTATGTCAAGCAAACCTAGGGCCGAGTCGGCCAGAAACTGGACCCCTGACCACTCAGGAGGTCTTGGCGAGGGGCCGACCACCGCCTCGGCAGGCAAGGGCGGGGGGCGCCTGAACGAAAGAGCTTTCAGCGCAGCCAACTGGCCGAAAAGCTTGAAGCCGACGGGCCTACGAGGGGAGAGCTCAGTGTCCAAGCGCGCATCGATCCTCTCGATGCCCTTACTGAGGCCGCCCGAGACGACAAAGTAATCGAAGGTGGTGGGAGGCCCCGCAGGGTAGTGAGTGGGCACCTTGGGAGAGACCAGGGCTCCCCTGAGCTGCTGGACAAAACGACCCCCCCAACCAAAAAAAACTCAGAGGGCTCCATGTTGAAGCCCGCACCAAGAATCCAGGGTCTCGCAGCCGAGGAAAGGCACAGCCCAAGATCCGAGAGCAGCTCCAAATTTCTGTCGGACAACCCCTCCGAGTGATAGAGGTAGGCCGAGGCAAAGAGCATGGGCGGCGCGCCAGGAAGCTCAACCGAACACACGACAGCTCTCCCAGCACGCATCTGGCCTCCGACGACGCCCGAGCAGCCCATCCAAGAGCGCACGAAAATGCCCCCCCCCCCCCCCCCCCCCCCCCCCCCCACCCCACCCCCCCCCCCCCCCCCCCCCCCCACCCCCCCCACCCACCCCACCCACCCCACCACCACCACCCACACCCACCCCACCACCACCACACCACACACACACACCACACACACACACACACACACACACACATACACACACACACACACCGAAGAACCGCCAACCTCAGCGGCCGCGGCTGGCGACCACGCACTCTTCCAGCCGCGGCGGGAGACGCCAGGCGCGGCCTGACCGACGCCCTCATGGGAAATCAGCATGTGCTCCTGGCAGAGCAAGATGTGCGCGTCAGTGCCGTCGATCATGTTACGCATCCTGCCCCAGGAATTACAGCTGATGGCCTGAATCCTGAGTGGCACCGCATCGACCTGCGCAGGCAGGCACGAGGTGGAAGGCCAAGCTCCGCAGGGTGAGACCGAGCGCGCCGGGCATGCCTCGCGTCCTGAGACCGAATCGACCGAGCGAGGTCGGCAGGAGGTGGGGCGAAGGGGCAGCGACGAGGACCCGGACCTCAGATGGCCCAGGTCCCCAGAGGTCGCCGCCATGCCAATGAAATTTTCGGGGGCCTGCATCGCCGAAGAGGGGGCAGGCAAAGGCAGCCTCGCCAGCGAGGTGCGACAAGGAGCATCCCTCACTAACGATACAACAGGATACACCCCCGCAGGACTGGCAAAACAAAAAGAAAACAGGCGCCGATTGCTCCATCCACACATGCGAAGCGACGATTGGCCTAGCACCGCATCCACACGAGTGAGTAGAGAGCGCAAACGAGACCGAGGCCTGCACTGCGGAATACATGTCAACCTCAGGTAATCGCGACTGCCAGAGGAGGAAGCGATGAGCAGAGGCAGCCCTCGCTTGCGCCAAAGAGTGACATGTGCCGAGGCGCGGCAGGGTCCTTAAAGCAAAAAGGCGCTTGCCCGCTGGAGGTTGTTCCAGCGAGAGCCCTCGGCCAGATCGACGGCCCCGAACTCCCTGGGAACGGCCCCGCGGCCCGGGCACCAGAGA